CGCAGGTAACGCACAAAAACAAAAAACATCGACCAATGCTACCAAATCAAAACTATAAATTAAGCCCGCCCACGCAATCTTTTCACTTTTAATGACAAAACAAAAAGCAAAAAACAAATAAAATTTGAGAACGAAAAAACAAACTGTCCCAGCTGCCAGTTTATTTACTTACGCATCTCGAGCATACATATTTCTCTATTAATTATGATCGCACACACACACATGCGAAATATGCTATAACTGTATTAGTAGGGCACAGATTCATATAGAAGTCAATTAAGGGCGACCTGCACAGCTGTTAGCTGCATTAATAATGCCTGAATTATTAGAATTTCATATGAATCAATTGAGCAGTTCTCCTAATATATTACCAATTACACTGGCCAACAAATTAAATGAAATCTGACCAAATAAAAATCTAAAGACAAGTTGGAATCATAAAGTTCAATCAAAAATTACAATATTTACAGTTATATTTGATATGAAATTCGGAATTAAAGCTTCATGACTTTAACATTTCTTTAGCTCGTTTAAGATTAAAAAACAAACTTAAAATAAAAACTCAATAAATGTTATACGTCTATACCCAAATATATCGATAACTGGGTTATCGATTTTTGTTTTTTTTTTCAATTAAATTCTTAGTCTGAAAATTAAAATCTAAAGACAAGTTGGAATCATAAAGTTCAATCAAAAATTACAATATTTACAGTTATATTTGATATGAAATTCGGAATTAAAGCTTCATGACTTTAACATTTATTTAGCTCGTTTAAGATTAAAAAACAAACTTAAAATAAAAACTCAATAAATGTTATACGTCTATACCCAAATATATCGATAACTGGGTTATCGATTTTTGTTTTTTTTTTTTCAATTAAATTCTTAGTCTGAAAATTAGTTGAACCAAAAATTGTTTAACTACATGGCTATCAATATATTAGTCCCTTCTATCGATAACTATTAAAAAATTTAAATTTTAAGCAACTGTGCTATTCGAAGCAAATAATTTGTTAAGCTGCACCCAGTTATATAGATATATATGTTATCGATAAGTGTTACACTTGTCTGTGGCCACGTTATCGATATCTATTCAAACAACCCAAATTCATACAAATATTCTTGACAAAAATCCATTAAACTACAGCAAAATATATCGATATATCTCATCGATAACGATTAAAAAAAGCAAAATATTAATTATAAAATATATCGATAGCCATATTATTGATAGTAAAAAAAAACAAAAATTAAAAGCAAAAGTTAAATTTAAAAATTTTTTTTTAATTACATATACCACACATATATCGAAAGCTGCGTTATCGATAACTACTAAATTATGCAAATTTTAATTAAGTTTTTAAATTGAAAAAGAGTTTAACTTTAACGGTCTTTCAGAATATCAACTAGATATCCCTACAGGCCATGACACTTAGTCATACACAAAGCATATTTCACAATTAGTTTCTATCCAACAGAAATCTTGGGAATTGCGTGCAATGGCATTCGCGTTTGTTGCTGTTATCGGGCTAGATCCTCGACCAGAACGCACTGGATGAGTCATGAACATGTTTTCTTATTTATTTACTTAATTTTTTTTCTGCGTCGCAGTATTTATAATCGAATAACAACTAGAATCGCACTAAAGTGCTCAAGAGAAGACGGGAAAACGCGAATTTGAACAGAGCGGCGCGACATGATTTCAAATGACAAATCGCTGGCAAAAACATTTCGTCTGGCTGCATAGTCTAGCGACGAGACGGGGCTAAAAGTGAAGAGTTCAAACGGAACGTGCACCGGGGGGAGGGACGGCGTGGCAGGGGGCAGAAACAAGGGCTGGTTCAGAGGCAGGGCATCAAGGGGGATGAGGTGAATGCTGTTGCATATGGGCAACGCTTGCCGTTTATTGTTATTTTTGTTGTTATTGTTGTTGTTTATGCCAGCCACTTTAGATGTGTGTTTGGATGGACAAATGGATGGATGGATGAATGCGCCAGCGTACAATATACAATAACATATTTGTAGAATTGTTGCGACACACAAAAAGATATAGATATATTGCAGCAGTGGGACGTGCCAAAAATCAGGCAAACACACCGCAAAACAACCGAGCGAGAGGCAGTGATATAGAGAGAGACAGGGAGAGAGAGAGAGAGAGAGAGAGAGCAGAGGGCAACCTGGCTGTAAATGAGTTGGCATCATTAATCGTATATCGTTGTCGCTTTACCCATCTGTCTCTCCGTCTATCTGCTTATATATAAGCAGATAAATATGTATATATATTTAATATTGCTGTTTTATTTAAAAAGGCATCGAAGCATCTCGGTATCTCAGCATTTTTCATTGAACATTTTGTGACAGAGTCGCAAAATTCTTTTATAAAAATTTCAATATTTCCAACCATTTTCATTGCCAGCCAATTGGCGTTATGTATACATACATATAAATCCATATACATAATTATATATATATATATATATGTATATATATATAAAATTATATAAAAATAGAAAAGCTGTACAAATTTGGCATGGCTTGGACCTACCTAGTAGCATGGCTTCAAATAACTTTTATGTTTTCACTTTGTTTTTTTTTTTTTTTGTAGTTTTTTTATGAATAGTTCTACAAAATGTAAAGAGAAGCACATGAAACGCATAAAGAACTAATTTTCATGAATTTTCTTTATATTTATAATTCATATTTGAAAACTTAATGGGGCATATTGAACTCTATGCTAGCTAATGTATTGCATCTGTAGGCGATGGTTGATGGTAGGATGAGAAGTTTAATATATGATGCTATCGATATATTATCAGCATAAGATGCTATCGATGCTACCAATAAGCTATCGATAGCTTCACATATTAAACTTATAAAGAGCTTCATATCTTGAACTTGATACTATCGACAGCTGATAACTGTCATGTCATAATGTCATGTATAAAGCAGTTGAGAGTATCGATCAGGCAAAAAGAAGATTACTATTTATCAATAATATCGATAGCTTCACATATTGAACTTACGATATATACAGTATTAATTGTGCCAGCTACCGACTACTATCACTTGAATGCATATGTATCCATGACTCAAGTTCTATATACGATCCAAGCGTCAAAAGCTCTTCATAACTCAGCTGCCCATATATATATATATATATATATATATATATATATATATATCTTTTGTGGCTATACCTGATTAGTAGCTACTAAGTAGCAATACCCATTTTAGTTTCTTCAGTTAGACAAGCTATAAATACAGCTTTTATGTCCATTTTACGACTACAGGGTATATATTTTCGAATATAAAAATAAAAGGTAAATTTAAATTTTGGCGCCGCCAACGTCACTAATGGGCCAAGAACTTTATTTTTGTTTATTTTTAATTTTAAGCTTGTTCTTTATTTGTTGTTCTCCGTCCCTCTCTTTTTCTTTTTTCATTTTAATTTTATTTTATTAATATTAATTTATGCCATTTTTTGTTTGTCAACGCAAACGACAACGTCTTCGTGCTCGTCTACTTATTATATTTATTTTATTTTTTATTTATTTTTTTTTTTAATTTTTCCCTTTATTTTGTGTGTGTTTTTTTTTGTTGCCTGTTTAATATTTATTTTCGGCGCAAATATTCCAAGCCAAGTGGCTCGTGTGCCACCAAAAACGTTTCCACAAATTGTGTGCGTCGCTTTTCGTTCCGCATATCTATAAAATTGTCGAACCAACCTGCATTAAGTTCTTGAACGTCCTTTGTGCCATGATTCACCAACTTTCCTTTGCCTGCCTTTGTTTTTTTTTGCGTTTTAATTTGAATTTTTTTCCCTTCTTTTCTATTTTTTTTGTGTTTTTTTTTTTATTTTGGCAAGTCTATTCGTGGCCATGTCGCTGACCTTTTGCGGTCGACCTGTGGCTGGCTACCCTTGTCGGGGACTGATTTTCATATCATCGAATGCTTGGGGCGTTAGGGCACCTGCGAGTATTCCACTTGATTTGCCAGCCAATTGGGTTAAGCACAGAGGCATTTCAATTTGAATCAGCCTAACATTTTCACATATAAAAATATTGTCAAAATTAAAAAAAAAATTTATGTATATTTATATGTGTATATATATAAATGAAATGAGAATATGGAAACCAAGCAGTGTAACGCCTAATTTATGTGCTATTCGAAGTCAAATTCTGTCCACGGTTTTCAATTGATGGGGAAGGATCACTCGATGCCTACGATTGCGTGTCTGCTTAGTAAATGGTAATCGTTGATTGAACTTGGCTTTTGGCAGGGAAAAGCGTGACCAAAGCACGATGCTTCTGATTTTATTGTGTCCTGCTGCTTACTCGCTATCTCTACACTTTACTCACTCGTTACATACTCACGCCTTAAGGTGATAAACATTCATGTGCATTGCGAATTGTTTGTCCATTATTTTTTACTATTGCCACTCACTAGCAAAGTTACTTATATTACTCGTTACTTCTGTTACTCGCTACTTCTGTAATTCATTGCTTCTGTTACTATATAATATTTAAGTTATTCATTACTCATGATATTCGTTGTTTCTACTACTCGCTACTTCTTTGACTCGCTTTTTATGTTACTCGTTATTTAGATAGATATACGTTTGTGTAAATTATTCCTTCTGTTACTAATAACCATTCAGCTTACTCGTTACTTCTGTTACTTATTACCTCGGTTACTCGCTACTTAGTATATTCGTCATTCATCTTATTGTATACACATGATTTATGATTTATGTAAATCATTCGTTACTTTTGTCATTCGCAGCATTTGCTACTCGTTACTTCTGTTACTCGTCACTTATTGACAAGTATAAACATATCGTTATTGTATAATTCGCTTCTCATTTTACTCGCCACTCCCTTGGTCTCTGTATCAATTTGAATCCATACGCTTAGCAATTATTTGGCATGCTTATGTATTTAGGTAATGCCGATTATGAACTGCTCGAATACTTAATGAATTTTCTCTCTTTCTTTTTGCAGCCATGGCGAGGATCTCATTGTAACGCCGTTTGCCCAAATTTTAGCCAGCTTACGTTCAGTGCGCAACAATTTATTAAGTCTGACAAATGTACCAGCATCAAACAAGTAAGTTTATTGTGACCTTGACACGCCCATATGCCCCATTCGCAATCATATGTACATGAAAAAGCCATTACACCAAACTGTGGCCCCCGCGATCCATGACAAAACAAGCAAAGAGGATTCGTTCTGTTTATTCTCCAAACCGGACTCCAAATTATCCCAAAAAGCAACTCTCGCTGCTTCCCTACTCTGTTACACTCCCTACCCCGTGCTCATCTAAATATCTCTCTCACTCTCTCCCTCTCTATCTATGGCCTTATCTGATTCTCTTTGTCTTGCTGCCTGTCGATGTCCCTCGCTCGCTCTCTATCTTTTTGTGTGTGCTCTCTCAATATCTTATTGTCATCTCACACTTTAATTAATCAAGTGGCAACAACAACAACAACAACAGCAATCAGAATCTGAACAACAACAAAAGCATTAGGCATTCATCTACTTTTCCGACTAACAATAATTTTGTCTGTATGCATATTTGCGTGTGTGTGGGTGTGTGGGGTTTACACACAAACAAAGACAAAGGCAAATGAATAAAGACCCACTTAAACAGAAATGACGACAATGATGTGAAGAACCAAACCACAGTGCTAGATGCTGCTGCCTGGGTGAAGGCAATGGGCTGTCGGGACAACAATTTCTGTGTGTGTGTGGGGCATCATGTTGACGTGCCAAAAATACCGCAAATAAAAACCATGCCATACATTTTATTTATAATTTTTCCATCGAATATGACGGAACTCAAATTTAGAAAATTGTCAGTTCTATTGAACTGGGCAGTCAACGAGCAAACGAGGGCGATGAGCTGGACCGATCTCTGCTTGGAATCCCAAAAATGTCTCTTTTAGCTGTTGGCAATGTTGTTGTTGCTGCTGTTGCCATGGATGTTGATGTTGTTGCTTATTGGCACAAATATCTAAATGTGTTTGAATGAGAAATGCCCCACGTTATGAACGTCCCCCGACCTTAAGATACGTTAATTCCCCACCCACTGAATGAGCTGCCTCTGAGTATGCCAATTAAATCTAACCTAATCAATAATAAGAAATCATTTTTTTTAAATGTTGTACAGAAAACAAAACCAAGAAAAAAACCACAGATTCTTCAATTCAATTTTGTTCATGTTTTTTTTCTCTCTCTCGTTCTCTCTCTCTCTCTCGTTCTCTCTCTTTCTCTTTTATGAATATATATATATGTGTTTAATATATGTGTTTATATCTGTCTCGCTCGACATTAACGACATTTAATCGTTGTTTTTGTTGTCGTTGTTTTAATGCAAACAAAAATTTCCCATTCTCAATGTTGTAAAACACGTGTTTTTCTTGCTGTGTGTGGTTGTTAACAAAAACAAAACAAACAAAAAAATCATAATAAAAAAAAACTGTATTACTTATGTGTAACTTGCCCCGTTTCCCCAATCATATTCCAATTGTCTGTTTAATTCACAATTTCATTTCGATTTTTGCATTTTTTCACCTTGTTTTCTCAATGTTTTTGCCTTTTCCCCATTTTTGATCGTTTTTCAATTGAAATTTCTTGTCATTTTTACCTTGTTTGTCTTTTTTTCTCTTTTGCGATTTATGTTTGTTCTCTTGTTTGTTGTTTTTATTGTACCTTGTACCTTGTACTTGGTTCCTTGTTCCTTGTTCCTTTCATAATCAACACAATCCCGTGCTATTCTGTCATTCCTCTTCTCTCTACCTGCCTCCCTCTCAATCCCACGCTTTCTTTATCTCCCTCTCCCCCTCCCACTCTCTGTCTCACTGTCTCTGTGTGTGCGTGCGTGTGTGTCTGTGTGTGTGTGCGGAAATCATGTATTAATCAAACAAGATCCAGGCGACCAGCTCAATCATCATCCGTCGGACGGGCCGGAAATGCTGGCGGTGTCCAACTAGCACAGGGCGATGAGGCCTACACGCGCCTAGCCACCGATACTATTGAGGAACTAGATTGGTGCCTGGATCAACTGGAGACCATACAAACCCATCGCAGTGTCTCTGACATGGCATCGCTAAAGGTGCGTCTATCGTTAATCGCGCTATCGATCGATCGACTCGATAACTAATCAAAGACATTTCTTTTTATCTCTTTTCCTTTGACAGTTCAAACGCATGCTCAACAAGGAGCTCTCACACTTCAGCGAGTCCAGCAGATCTGGCAATCAAATATCCGAGTACATTTGTTCAACATTTTTGGGTGAGTTCAATATGTCCAGAGATAAGAATACGGCTTGGCGAAGCCCAATGTCAATGGTAGCTTAGCGATGCTTACTTACTATGTATATAGAGCATCTAGAAATCTTGGCCAGCTCTACTGGCTAGATGACATTTCTATTGTTGTTGCTTTTGTGCGAGACGCTCAAAAGTATGCAATAAAATTGCATTAACCACAGGAAAGTTCAAGTGGTGGCAACGCCAGCCTCGGGCTCAGGCCTTCTACCCCCCACTCCAGCCCAGTTGCCACTCATCCAATTAGAACTATGCAAAACAAAAGCGAAAACTTTTGTGATATGCACATTTATGCACAAAAAGCTGAAAGTAAAACACGAGAGGGAAAACGTAAAATTAAATATAAAAAAAAACTAGATGTGGGGAAAAAAGTGGAATAACAAGACTTAAACCAAATCCGTCGAATTGAAAGTGCAAAATTAAATTATGCAGAGCAGCATAAAAACAGATGAAGTGGAAATTTCATTGTTTAACCTACGAAGCAGCCCGCCCCCTACCAGCGTACGCCCAACGCCCAACAGAAGAAGAACAAAAAAATACAAAAACTATGACCACGTTTGACGTTGCCTCGGGACATGCACAAACAAAGGCGCGTAGTGCCAAGCGAAAGAGTTACACACAAAACAAAACAGAAAAGAAGAGAATAAAAAACACACACACACACACGCAAACAAAAAAGTGTTGGGCATGTTGGTTGGGTCGACGCCTAAAAGTGTGGGTGTGGCCAAGCATAAGGTGGGCAACATATTTGCACATTTGTCCATATTTCTGCTTCGCTGAGCTGAGCCAAAGCTGTACTGAGCTGAGCTGAGCTGAACTGAACTGAAGTGAATGGAACGATATGAAACGAAACGGAACGGAACGGAACGGAACGGAACTTAGCTCGTTTCGGCTCGGCTCGAACTCAACTTAAATGGCCTGCTAAAATGGGCAGGGCCGGGGCTAAACTGGTTTCTGTTGCCCACCTTTGCGGCCACTAGCGCATTTTATTTTTTGGCCTAGGCCTTTGGTAGTTGCTTTTGTTGTTATTGTAGTTTATCAAGCATAAAATCGCATTTCAGCCAAGCCTAGCTGGCACACACACACGCACAGGCACAGGCCGGCAGCCCTAATGTCTATTTGTAACACTTCATTTGCAACAGAAGCGACAGCCGCTGGGCCAACCTAAAAGTCACACAAGACCGGGTCAACATAAATGTGTCGCTAGTCTAGTCGATAAGTCGACTAGACAAAAAAACAAAAAGCGCACACGGTGCGTATACGCAATGTCCATGGTCTGATTGCGAATGCGTAGGTGGCGGGCGCTTAATTGAAACGCTGCCACACGCACACATTTAAATTTACATATGAGAGGGAGAGGGGGAGGGAGAGGGAGAGAGCAAATATCTTGTGTGGCTGTCGCATATGTTAATCAGGCAAATCGTTAAGCTTCGTGCGCGCAAATATAAAAAACTGTGAAACGGATTTCAGATTCAAAACTCAAAACCAAAACCAAATCGTATGCAAAATACGTACATATGTCTGCATGCACTCACATCACTGAATCACTCTCTCTGTGTGTGTGTGTAGAGTATATAAAATAAAAAAAGAATAACAGCAGGCAGCTGAGACAGCTTTGCGTCGAGCTTTCAGCCGTGGGGCAGGTTAGCAATGTGTTATGGATAGGATACGTGCCAGGCGCTATATGGACAGATGTGTATGTGTGTGTAGCTGTGTTTGTGTGCATATTTGCTTTCTATGTGCATTTTAAAGAGTTGGCTAGAAAGCGATATAGACTAACACAACGACCTAGAAATACTCTTCACGCATGGCATGGCACAAACATAGATCAATATTTGCCTCTGCTTTATTTATTTGCTTTGATTTTAGTTCTGCATAGCTAGTTATGTCTGCCGAGAGCCCTTTAAATTCAATCGGACTCGGCGGGCATTAAATGTGTATTAAAAACAGTTTATGCCTTTGGGCATAAGTAAACAGTGCCCGGCTTTGGCTTGCCAATCTGAAGGCTGCTTGCTCTCACTGAAATATTAACTGAGCCTTGGCGCTGTCAGCTCTTCTATATATTTGCTGTTAACTGCTGCCACATGATGGGGCATGCATTTAATATTTAAATACTTTTAATATCAATTCAAAGTATTTTCTAATCAACTTTTGCTTGCATTTTATATTAAAGCGTTGTGAATTGAATATTTCAAAATCCATATCCTGTAACCATTAGAAAAAGGGCATATTAAAGATAAGTTACAAAGATACAAAGGGCATTAATGCTATGCCTATTCAAAGGTCCGGCGTTATTTAGTCATAGATACTTTGAGGATTCGGCTCAGATATCGAATGCCTTAGTTTAAAGTCTACTCTGTCTTGATATAAATGAAGAATTCGATTTGTTTTACATATTTAAATTAATATAAATTTCTTAAAAATTATTTCTTTAGTCAGGAATATCTATTTGATTCTCTTTTAAATAAACGCTTTTAAATATTTTCGTATTCTCAAAGCACTTCAAAGTTTGCTGAGCTGCGCCTTTGATGGATTCTTGAGTTACTCAATCGTATCGTGCGCCACTTCAGCTCTTTGGGTAGAAAGAGGCACAAGTTGAACAGGTCTGAGGCATCATTGGTGGCTGCTTTTTGGCCACAAAATTGCTATAGATTCTGCACTCCATTGCTTGGCATTGAATATCAGCCAAAACAGCTCTCAAAACTTAACTGAGCATACTTCTATTTGTACGTGAGGCACGTGAGGCAACTTTCGCGATACACTTTGAACATGCCTCGTGTATGCATTGCTGTTTAATATGAAATATAAAGAGTAAAGAGAGCAGGGTATCTGCCAGCTCATATTCAAGCAAATTTATGGTGTTCATTGTCTGCAGAGTCATTTAAAATTTAAATAAATCTCATCGTATGCACAGGCAATTTGCAATTGTTGCATGAGCAAAAATAAAAAAACCAAACCAAAACGTTGCGCCCAAAAGTAGACAATGCATTTCGGATTGTTGAATATATGAGCAGGTATCTGCATATTTATGGAGCGCTGAGCAGAATGCGACGTATACTTAATATACCACATATGTATAATGAGCCCATTTGGTATTGCTTTTGACATTGCAGACAAACAGCAAGAGTTCGATTTGCCCTCGCTGCGCGTCGAAGAGAATCCGGATCACTCGAACTTACAGACCACCAGCCAGCAGCAGCCGTATCCGCGCAGTCGATCGCCGCGCGGGCCGCCCATGTCACAGATCAGCGGCGTGAAACGGCCCCTGTCGCACACCAACAGCTTCACCGGGGAGCGCTTACCCACGTTTGGCGTGGAGACACCCAGGGAGAACGAGCTGGGCACCCTGCTCGGCGAACTAGATATGTGGGGCATTGAGATATTCAAAATTGGCGAGCTGAGCTGCAATCGTCCGCTCACCTGTGTGGCATACACCATATTTCAGGTAAGTCAATCAATTCTATGTTATATAACTGTTATATTACCATCATTGTCATTGTCATTGTCATTGTCATTGTCATTGTCATTGTCATTGTCATTGTCATTGTCATTGTCATTGTCATTGTCATTGTCATTGTCATTGTCATTGTCATTGTCATTGTCATTGTCATTGTCATTGTCATTGTCATTGTCATTGTCATTGTCATTGTCATTGTCATTGTCATTGTCATTGTCATTGTCATTGTCATTGTCATTGTCATTGTCATTGTCATTGTCATTGTCATTGTCATTGTCATTGTCATTGTCATTGTCATTGTCATTGTCATTGTCATTGTCATTGTCATTGTCATTGTCATTGTCATTGTCATTGTCATTGTCATTGTCATTGTCATTGTCATTGTCATTGTCATTGTCATTGTCATTGTCATTGTCATTGTCATTGTCATTGTCATTGTCATTGTCATTGTCATTGTCATTGTCATTGTCATTGTCATTGTCATTGTCATTGTCATTGTCATTGTCATTGTCATTGTCATTGTCATTGTCATTGTCATTGTCATTGTCATTGTCATTGTCATTGTCATTGTCATTGTCATTGTCATTGTCATTGTCATTGTCATTGTCATTGTCATTGTCATTGTCATTGTCATTGTCATTGTCATTGTCATTGTCATTGTCATTGTCATTGTCATTGTCATTGTCATTGTCATTGTCATTGTCATTGTCATTGTCATTGTCATTGTCATTGTCATTGTCATTGTCATTGTCATGTCATTGTCATTGTCATTGTCATTGTCATTGTCATTGTCATTGTCATTGTCATTGTCATTGTCATTGTCATTGTCATTGTCATTGTCATTGTCATTGTCATTGTCATTGTCATTGTCATTGTCATTGTCATTGTCATTGTCATTGTCATTGTCATTGTCATTGTCATTGTCATTGTCATTGTCATTGTCATTGTCATTGTCATTGTCATTGTCATGGTCATGGTCATGGTCATGGTCATGGTCATGGTCATGGTCATTGTCATTGTCATTGTCATTGTCATTGTCATTGTCATTGTCATTGTCATTGTCATTGTCATTGTCATTGTCATTGTCATTGTCATGGTCATTGTCATTGTCATTGTCATTGTCATTGTCATTGTCATTGTCATTGTCATTGTCATTGTCATTGTCATTGTCATTGTCATTATTATTTTAAGGACATTTGAAATAGAAGCTAATGTCTTGATATTTCTTTTCCTGTACTTACAGAGTAGGGAATTACTGACCAGTCTTATGATACCACCGAAAACTTTTCTTAACTTCATGACTACTCTGGAGGACCACTACGTCAAAGACAATCCGTTTCACAATTCGCTGCATGCCGCTGACGTGACACAGAGCACAAATGTGCTACTCAATACACCGGCATTGGAAGGTGTATTTACGCCCCTTGAGGTGGGCGGAGCGCTGTTCGCCGCTTGTATACACGATGTTGATCATCCTGGCTTAACCAATCAGTTCTTGGTTAATTCAAGTAAGTGAAACCTCAAATGAAATTGATATTCATAAATAATATTCTCGTATTTGTTTGTCAGGTTCCGAACTAGCATTAATGTACAATGACGAATCTGTTTTGGAAAACCATCATTTAGCTGTTGCCTTCAAATTATTGCAAAATCAAGGATGTGATATATTCTGTAATATGCAAAAGTATGTAACTGCATCTAGATAATCAAAGTGTTTGGATATACTATAATAAGTTGTTTATTTGTGCTTATAGGAAACAACGCCAAACATTGAGGAAAATGGTTATTGATATTGTGCTCTCTACGGACATGTCCAAGCACATGAGCCTGCTGGCCGATCTGAAAACTATGGTGGAGACCAAGAAAGTGGCCGGATCTGGAGTTCTGCTGCTGGACAACTACACAGATCGCATACAGGTAAGACTCGGTAATTCACTAGCTAACAATGGCGCTCAACTCTCTCTCTCTCTCTCTCTCTCTCTCTCTCTCTCTCTCTCTCTCTCTCTCTCTCTCTCTCTCTCTCTCTCTCTCTCTCTCTCTCTCTGTCTGTTTGTCTGTCCGTCCTCTTCTATAGGTACTTGAGAATCTGGTGCACTGCGCTGATCTGAGCAATCCCACCAAGCCATTGCCGCTATACAAGCGTTGGGTGGCGCTGCTTATGGAGGAGTTCTTTCTACAGGGCGACAAGGAGCGTGAATCGGGCATGGACATCAGTCCGATGTGCGATCGCCACAATGCGACCATTGAGAAGTCGCAAGTGGGCTTCATCGATTACATTGTGCATCCGCTGTGGGAGACATGGGCCGATCTGGTGCATCCAGATGCCCAAGATATACTCGATACGCTTGAAGAGAACAGAGACTACTATCAGAGCATGATACCGCCATCGCCGCCACCATCGGCCGCCGATGAAATGCCGCAGGATGAGAAGATACGCTTCCAGGTACATACCAATACGAATAGGAACATATCCTTCCCCTCCCATTGTAAGGACAACGTCAATTAATGCCATCAATGCTAATGTTTCGATCACTTTTGTAGGTAACGCTCGAAGAGTCCGATCAAGAGAATTTGGCCGAACTGGAGGAGTGCGACGAGAGCGAGAGCCGGGATGCCTGCTCAACCACAACCACAGGGACAACGGCACCTAGTGCGGCAGGTGGTGGCTCCGCTGGCGGTGGCAAGCCGTCTGGGAGTCAAAATCAGGCGCCACACGGTGGAATATGACGGAGAGTCGTGGGAATTTATCGCAAATTTACGGAAAAGGCGCACAGCTTCTTCCTAATACGTTAGTGACTATAATTAACAAACACACAGAAGAAACAAAACAAAGCAAAACTTCAACCAAAAATTTAACAAAATCCAAATCTAAAATCTAAAAAAAAAAAAACACTAAACTAAACTAAAAGCTATAAAAAACAAAAAAAAAAAACCAAAAAAAATTCAAAGGATTAAGCAAACGTTTAAAACAAAAAAACCAAACAGCAATAGCAAAAGTACCGTTTAAACTTCTAGAGAAAGAAAACGAAAAAGAAAAAAAAAAACAAATAACAAAAAAAGCAAAGAAATTAGAAACTTACTGGAAAAAGAGATCGATGTGGAATACACTGAAAACCAAAAACAAAAATAAAATAAAATTAAAAATAAAAATACATAATAGAGAAAGAAAGAGAAGGAAAAACAGCAGCATTAACATAACATTAAAATAACTAATCTTAAAAGCTCCCAAGACAAGGCATACGCGCACTGAAACAACCAACAGAACGAAAATCAAAGCAAAGCAGAAGAGAAAAAAAAAAAACAAAACTATCAAGAGAATAATCCAAAATTTGGGCAAGAGCCCAACCGTAGACGTACATTTCTTTCTTTTTTATTTATTTGATCAAATCTTTGGTTTTTTTTTTGAATTTTAAAATATTGCTAAGCAATGCGAACTTTAGTTTTACATTCTGAAAAAAAAAAAATCAAATTTCTGTTAAACTTATGTTAACGGCTTGTTTTCTTTAACAAAAAATTATGTTTTATTATATTGACAAAGCAAGGCCAGGAAGGCAACTACAACAACAGCAACAAAAATAACAAATTTACTCTTAAGTTACTTTACTTTTCTGTTGGTACTCTTAAGCTGAAGTGTAAATGGCTTAAAGAGAGCAAGAAAGCTACTTTTGCATGCATAAATTTACAATTTTAATTATTACTTACGATGATTGATTATTGAAAACTAATTTATTGAGAAATGACAAGAAACAAAACAAAAACCAAAAACAAAAATATCAAACACTAATTGCAATTAGGTCTATAACATATATAAATATACTGTCAACCTTCCCCTAACCCGCCTAGACAAGACAAAAGAAAACAAAAAATAACAAAAAAAAATGCAACCCAGTGAATTAAAAAATATTGAAATTAAAAAACTTTCAAAAAAAAAAAAACAAAATATAAAATTAATAAAATTAATAAAAAAATATATGTACAGTCCGCAGCTTGGACTGCGGTTGTAAAGTACTATAAATACATACACATGTAATCTTACATATATATAAATATATACATATATATTTATATATATGCACATATATAAATATATAATACGTTGTTTTTTTTTAATATTTGTACATAATTTAAATGTTGGACTCGAATTTAAAATAAAGCAGCTAATGCTTGCAGCTAAAAACTAAATGAAAAACAAAAAAAAAAAAACAACTAAGAAATGATA